CACGGCCGACTCCAGCTCGTCAAGCTCGTCGACTGACGCCGCCAGTGACGTCACCAGCCAAGACTCGTCCAGCGGAAGGTACTGACATCACGCTAAACATAAAAAAGTCCTCGTGTTTAAGTTTTAAATGTAAAATGAATTTTAGACTTTTAACCATCTTCATATCGTTTCTGATGAAAGAAAGAATTTTCTAGTGAAATTTCTAGAAATTTCTATAGCAAATTTTACATTTTTTTTTATTGATACTGTCAGTCTACCTATTTGTGAATAGTTTTTAGTGTTTAGGTAATTTCGCTGGTGACGTCACTGACAGTAATGTGTTAACGCACAGAGGTGGCAGACAAAGTACATAATGTAAACCTAACAATATCGCTGTACACATTGTATTCGTAATAATAGGACAATTTACATCTTTTAATAGTACTTTGTTTTCCAACTGTGGTTATATTAAAAATTAATTTGCAATAATTAGCTCCAAGATAATTTGCCAATTGTAAATAATATGTACAGTCGCACAGCAGAGCCTCATGAGATATTGTAAAAATGATTCTTGACGCCTTAGAAGTTTTTTTTTTTTTCAAAAAACTTAGTAAGGCATCGATGGATAGTCGAATCACATTTTTAAATATTGTTTAGATTATTAACTAGTCACTTCAATGAAATATATAATGTAATTTTCAAAATAGGACATACTAAAGAAAAAATAAAAAAAAAAAATATAGGTAAAAAGTCTTGTTAAGAAATGTGATTTGTAGAATATTGTAAGTCTATTTTTTATAAAAATGGCAATGATACACTATTTTGGATTTAATACTATATTTATAATATTTACAAATACCTCCTTAAATGTGTTGAATGCTCATCATCCACTTGCCATCCATACATCTATCAGCCGTCATATCTGAATCCACTCCTTTCACATATCCTCTTTTACACAATCCATCCATACATACTTCATAAATTTCTTGAATGCTAATATTTTTTTAATATAAGCTACAATAGTTTTCACACACAGGTTTACTTGACCATTTCAAATGTTTAGGTAAAACTGTGTGTGAATCAACCCTTATATATGTAAAATTTCATATCACATCAAGAGAGTTTGACATTTTTGTATTAGCAATAACTCAATAAATTAGTCAATTAAAAATAACATATCTACAATTTAAATTTTTAGAAAAAAAAATATTTAATAACTTTAACTAGTGTAGTAATACAGCTTTTTGCACAAATTTATATACACAAGTAAACAATAAATTATTAGTAGTACTAGTATATGTAAATTTCATTGTATAGATGATATATTTTGTATTTTGATATTTTCCATATGGTTTATAAATTTTGAGATAATTTTAAACCATAAAGAAAATGTAATTACGTTTTTTTTTGTTTCTTGTTAAATAGGACCGATTATTATTTATTAAAACTATATTTGTCAGTATACAGGATGATTTTTAACGCACGGATTAACGGTTTTGTGGAGTTAGAGGTCAATAGCTAAGCTCCAATAGCTTTAAGCTCAAAGTATGATGCCCGATTTCCTATAGTCCAAAACCGTTGCTCCGTTCGTCAAGAATAATACGATGGGTGAAAGGATATTTGGTTAAATGTTCAGGAGAGCCATTTAAATTTTTTAGAAGAAAAAAATCATAAAAAACAAATTCTGAAAATAATTTAAATTGAAATATTTTCAGACCGGTTTTAGATTAAAATTGCATAATTCTGCTTCATTATTTATTAACGACGCGGAAAAAATCATGTAATAGGGAATATGCATGTTTTTTTTTTTTTTATACGATTCTACTTGTTATAGAATAACCAGAAAAAAAAGTTGACGCGAAAATATTCAACCATGAAAAATAATAAAATGAAATTACGACCATTTTCGAGCGACTAAAACGCGACCGTAGTTGTCAATAGACAAATGACGTCAATCGTCTTATTCCATTCATAACATACGCTCAGATGTCACTTCGACGTAAAAAACAACAAAGCTTCTCAAGGTCAAAAAGTCGATTAATTTTTATTATTCCTGGTACAAATAAGTGGTAATTAATAATTCTATTCATTATTTTTTATTTTAAAGTTTTTGATATCGTGTTTACAGTAAAATACTTCTAGAGTGAATTTCTGTGTAACTAACTTAAATGAACTGTGTATTGTCAACACAGCGACACCATATTAGATAAGCCACTTGCTTCGACCAATAGCTTGCTTTTTAGAACTTAGCGAGGGGATTTGAAAAAAGACACTTTTTAATGATTAAATTTTGCCACTAAATCACATTATATTAAAAAAAATCTTTACAGGAATGTTTTATAATAATAAAGTATACTTAAAAAAAGTTTGGTGCAATTTGGATTTATATGCATATTGCCTATTATCGCCTAAAATGGCGGATGAAACAAATAACCTTTCACCAGTCGAAATACTCGAGTTATTATCTGAAATTGTTTAGGTATAAAAAAACAAACTGAATCTATGAATTACG